AACTATCTTACTCTAACACTCTTTCTTCATAAATATATAAATAAAATGTCATCTATGACTGAAAGTGATGAGAGACTTTTGATCACATCTTATGTCTTTATTGGGACATAGATACTTTTCTACTAAGTCATTTTATAACAGCATTCTTAAGGTCTCGTAAGGTTTCAATACTCGAATTGTCTTATGGTCTAACTCACATTCATTTTCTATTTCATTTCATTTTAGCACTATTTTTTAGGGTCATACAACATTTTTAGAAAGGAGCGTAGAGAATAAGGGTGATGTTACAACCAAAATTTTACATTGCGTTATTTTTGCTCCCAAAAAATTCGATTACAACAAGTTAAAGAGATTCATATACTGATATTTCTTTCGGATTTGTCTTGATATTAAAATTTTCATATTTTATCAGTGTTCGATTGCTTGGCTCTACTAATAAACCTCCATTTAACTTGCCCTCAGATAAACCAGCGATCTGCACAGATAAACCAGAGATCTGAAACAATTGCTTTTTACAATAATTTTTTGGGGGGCCGCAAACTCACCTTTATCATCTCACTAAATACTAAAGTACTCTCAGTAATTCTCTTTTCATGAAATCGTAAATCTACAGCAAGGGTAATGACGTTGTGTATGAGTAACTAAACTAAATTTAAATGAAATTTCTAAATAAACTAATCATTATGAAATTTTTTTATTATTTTCACAGAAATCAGCATTAATCAATCACTTATTAATCAACCACTAAAATTATTCTTAAATAATTATTCTAATTCTAATATTAGTAAATGACATAGTCATACGGAAATTAAAATAAATACAAATGATTATAAGTAAAGTTAAATAAGCGCCTTATGAGAAAGTTTTATTCTATTTGTGTAAATTCTTTATTAAAAAAACATTATTTTAATTTATTTTAAGAAAATGTGAATGTAAATAAAATTTTTTTCCTTCGAGGTGCGCTTTAACATATATTTGAAATACTAATATTACTATTTTCTTACATCAATGAATTAGGTGATTTCTAAGAAATGCCTTATCAGTAACGCTTCTATAAAGAACAATTAATTTTTTCTATTAATGTAATCAAATAATCAAATAAATTTTAAAAATGATCGGTTTTAAGCTCATCAAAGCTTAAAAATTTGCTTAGTACTACAGTTGAACTCAAATAGTTGACATCTACAGCAAAAGTTTAGAAAAATGTTTAAAATTTTATATACTTTTATATTTGTGATCTATTTACTAGAGATTGGAACAGCATATTCTGCAACAAAAGTAAGTTTGAAAACATTAATAATTAAAAATGAATAAAGTTAATAACATTAACAAAAAATGTTCATTTATTTTGAATGATCTACTTCGAATTGCATAGTATAAAAGGTAATATTTATTATTATTATGCGATTATAATTATAATAAAAGTGATTTTACTTAGTACGAAAACACCCACTGTCGATATTTCATACTACCAAAAAAATCCCACAAACTGTTATGAAGCAACAGGCAATACAGGAAAAAGTGGTGTTTATACGCTTGACATAGAGGGCAAATCCTTTCTAGCTTACTGTGAGGCAGATATCAACGGCGGTGGCTGGCTTGTGATACAGCGTAGACAAGATGGCACAGTAGATTTTAATCGTAATTGGACAGATTATCAATCGGGTTTTGGGAATATTAACGGCGAATTTTTCTTTGGTCTTAATAAGTTACATACATTAACTAATAAAACCGCACATGAGCTCATGATTGTCACGCGACTATTTGACTCCACTGTACTCGATGGAAAATATGACTACTTTTTAGTTGGAAGTGAGACTGAAGGATACAGCTTGAAAAAACTTGGTTTTCCTTCCGGAATTATTACATTTTCTCTAGGGTGGAATGAAGGCTTGAAATTTTGGACTAAAGATAGATATAATAATTCTTTATGCAATAAAAATTTAACTGAAGCTATAAGTGGAGGTTGGTGGACTAATTGTTTGGACCATAGGTCAGTATAAAAAGTTGTACCAAGATATTAAAGATAAAGATAATGACATTATATCCAGGGATTTTTATGTAAAAGAAGCGTTCTTACTGCCTCCCATTATGTCATTTTACGAGTAAGTCAGAAACAAAATTTTTAATGTCATTTGTGTTAAGTTTTCTCTTATATTTAACCATAAGTTCAATTTTACTAACTTTTAAGATTCAATGTTTATTGCATAGAAAAAATGAATGAGTTAAAAAGTATTCTACAAATTACCAATTAAATATTTTTAGAAATTTATTCACCGGAAGTGAATATGTATGTAACAGTCAGTACTTAATGGTGCTTAGACACAAGACTTAAAAGACATCCTACGTATATCTATATATTCACATTATTTCTAATATATTTTTAATTTTTATTTGTAGTGACTGTATTTTTATGAATTTATGTAGTTTTGCTTATATATTGAATAATTATTTTGTTACTATTTTAATTTCTTTTATATACTTAAGCTTCGCCAATACTAACTTAAATGGCATTTACAATCGTGAAGACAACACAAACGAGGATCTATCAATCGGGGTTGACAGAAACATGACAATAAAATTTGTGCAGATGATGATCCGTCCCACTGGATTTTAATCAACAACTGTGACTTTTTGTAATACTAATTTGTAATAAAAAAATTCTAATTAATTAAAAATTTTAATAAATATGAATAAACGGAAAAAATTGTTTACAATTCCCGTCACCTTGAAAACCCCTCAATAATTGCTTTATAAACAATCTGGCGATTGAAAATAGTGCATTGAATTTAATTACTATATTTATTAATAAAGACCAACCCAACTAATGAGGCACACCCTAATCAATTCCACAATTTTCAATTACCATTGCCTCTTGAATCCAGAAAACTTACTGGTATTTGTTAAGCGAAGTGGTTCCGCCTCACATTATTCATAAAGCAAACTTAACTTAATTAAAATTAATAAAAGTGAATATTAATATATTAAAAATTATTAACCAAATACCAACAGAAAATAAATATCAATACTCAATTTCAACCAACAATGCACAAAGCCAACACAAGTGCCAAAAATTCGACGTTACAATCCATAAAACAGGAGAGATCTTTGACTGCAGACTTCATTGGGATTCTGGTTTTTGACTTCATTTTGTATTTGCCATCAGCCTTTGGAAGCAGATTTTGCTTGAAAATTATATTGTGTTGAATGGTATTCAACATTGGTTGTTCTCTGTTTCTTATTCCTCGTTCCTTATCCCTTATTCCTTTATGGAATCATATAACAACACTGATTTGGCATTCCATGAAAATGCATTGAATTGCACTCGAATGGATGCGAAAGCACATGAAAACAAAATGTATGAAAGCTTTGTTATTTAAGTTGATATAGAATACAGGAATAAAGGCAAATGACATGGAAATAGAGGACTTGATTGAATTAAAACAAGAAACTAATATTTACCTTTGAAAAACAAGAGAACCAACAAGAAAAATAAGGAAAAGAAATTTAAATAAGGCAATTGTCAAAGCTTTTATCAAAGTGTCCTCATTGTTTTCCTGCTCCAGTGAACTTTACTCCGAACTATTCGATGATTTAGTTAATTATAAGGTAAAATAGCAAAGGGAATATTTTTGTCCTAAAATTTGACTTACATACACATGATTCCTTTAGTAGATTAATAAAAGTTTTCAATGAATAGAACTTGAAATAGGTTTCGGTATGAAAAAATTTCATCATATGAGTAGACTTCTGGATTTAAGCTTTCTCAAATTTTTGCTCGACAAGACTATAACAGAAAAATTATATTTCAATAAATTTTGAAATGGTCACCTTAAAATAAACTATAGTAAATGATTTAGGTAACAAATAAAATCCATTTCTTTCGCTTAAATCACAAAATTCTACTCTTTCTATAAAACGTAATCTTCCTTTAAAATGTAATATGTATACCTCGAAATGCATTAATACTTAAATTTCACTTAACTTCATAAAGAGCAAAAAGAATATTGTGATATTAGTCAAAAACACATACCTATTAAATTATTTAGTTCAACCAAAGACGACTCAAACATTGAGATGCTGAAAAGGGGACAAAATTTTTAAGCAAAAACCTTTCATGGTTTTGTCTGGAAAATACAAAGCCAATCTTAAAATATCTCTTAAAGACAACTTTTCAACACAGAATAATTATTTAGTGTTGTGATTGCTCGTTATAAAATATACCATATGAACCAACATATATTCACGATCCCAATTAGTATAAGTTAGAAAAAGCTCCTTTGTGCAAGAGCTTTTCAATAATTATGAACGAATGTTATTTCTAATTTAGACATCTGTATAACTAAGTTACTCTTGTTTAACCAATATAATTTAAGAATATTATATACTACAATATGTATTATGAAATCTTCAATAATGTATACTATATATAGAGAAATACCTCACAAATGATCTGATAAATCTTTTAATGATACTAAATAATAAAAAAAATTATATTGTTGCAATTCACCATTGTTCGGTAAAATCGTCTCTACTGAAAATATTTTCTATTAAAAAGTTCGATTCTTTCGTCAAGACGGGCATTAAAAATCAATTTGATATAGAATACTATAATACATAATAATATAATATATTTTGATAATTATATTATTATAAAATAATAATTATAATATTATATATTATGATGTAATAGGTTAGGTTATACCGGCGATTTCTAGTGGATCCTCTTGGGCCTATTAGCCCATTTTGCTACCGTATATGTAGGAAAACTCAGGGTTTAAAACCACAGATGAAAGATATAATAGGCTTGTCCACACTCTTTATAAGCAGTACGACGAAATATGCCACACAATACTTCAATGAAGCCCCCAAAGCAACAGACACAGATGAAGATCATGTAACATCTGGAAAAGAACGATAAGAAATGAAACCGGCATTCTTTGAATGACTAGCGATATATATCTGCTGGAGACAGAAATAGTTGGAAATTCTATGTAACAAGTCTTTGCTGGTGATGGGGTACGGTTAATAATAAATATCTAACTGACTATTAGGCAGTTTTTTTCGTAGTCAGTTAGTCAGCTAATAGATAGACTATCAGTTAGATAGACTGATATTAGTGCAGTCAATATAATTAAGTTAGTTTTATTAGTTGGTAAATACTGTTTTTGGTATATACAGTTTCTCATTTTTCATTCAATAGATTACCTTTTCACTGCTTTTCTATGAATAGTCCTCAGAGCTAATCGGGCAATATTCAGATCAATTCAGTGCAATAAAATTCAATTAATTGCTGCCAATTAAAAATAATTTGAACCTTAATGATTACAAGTTTGCAGATTATTGAATTTTCTTAGTGGAAATCATAAAACGCCATTTTCATTATTATTTGCAACAACAATTTCCACTGAATGAGGTTAACTATTTGGAAAAAATCAACTCGGATTAGAGGTTTTATTTTTTCCTTTCCTTTTGCTAAAGGAATTTGTGGTTCCACTTTTGATTATTGCAAAGCAAACTTATTAGTTCCCTTATTGGAGAGCAAATACTTGAAAAGGCAAACAAAGAAAAACCAGTACTAATAGTGGAAAAAAATGTATACTCTAATTAAATGAAAAGATTTTGTATTTATTTTTCTTTTTAATTTAATTTCGTATTTTTAATTTCGATTGCATTTTCTAACATTTGTGGGACTTTCTGTTCAAACAGTTTCGATTCCTCAGCAAATAAAGTGAAAAAGTTTGAGAATTGCAACAGTTTAAGTGCTTTAATTAATGGCAGAAATAGTTGAATGAAACAATAAATAACAAAAATAAAATGAAATTAAATTAAAAACTACAACGAAATTCATGCAATCAAAAAATCATTCAAACATTAAATCAGCTTGACGTTTTGTTTTTCGAGTGATTAAAACTTTTAGCAAACAAATTACTCACAATGGAAACTAAGCTCGTTGCTCTGGGAAATATTTAATTTTAAAATAAATTGGAACGAATTATGGCCACTTGAGTAAAATATTTAATATTTCAGTTTATGATATTTTTAAAATAAATTGCAATCGTTGTATTGTACATAAAAAAAACAATCATTTAAATATGAGTTGGAATAAATGGAACAGATCAGGCCACATTTAGTGTATTCGCAAGACTACCATATGGACCTTCTGCTCAAAGAATAGGATTTTGTTGTTTTTTAACTACTCCTTAAGTATTAGACTTTTCACAAAAATTTTTTTTGTTATATTGGTACACCCTTTCTTGACATATGGCACAAATTTGAGCGCCATCTGTCAATTAGTTTGTTTACAGCAGATGTTAATGTGAGTCTACCTCAAGTGTATTTAGCGATTTTTACTATGGAAAATTCTTGTTGTACGCGATTTTTTGACCAAACACAGCACCACTGTCATCGCTCAGGCACCATATTCGCCAGATCTGGCGCCGTGCGACTTTTTCCAGTTACCGAAATTCAAATTGCCCCTTCGTAGTAAGCGTTTTGATTCGATTCAATCGGTAAAAGAGAATTCGCTGAAGGAACTAAAAGCCATACCTTCACGGGCCTACGAAAAGTGTATGGAAGATTGGGTCAAGCGTTGACATATGTGTATCGCTTCAGAAGGAGCATATTTTGAAGGAGTTAAAATAAATTTGGAATAAAATTTAAATTTGTGTGTTTTACTAGTGTGGGTATTTTTTGAGCAGAAGGAATTTGGATAGTGTCTCTAATGATAATGTGCCTTTGTTAATGCCAGGCTGATTTAATTTGACCTTCTATCTACTATCCACTACTGCGAGGTTTTTGTGGATTCAAAACAACTTTTTAGCTAATTGAGGAGGATTCGTCCTCCCTCCACCTCCACTAACTAACTAATGATAATAATTATTATCATACAATATTTAATACACCCGTATAGATAAAGGACGTACAATAAACAAAGCATAAAATAAAAATATTGGCAACTCTACCCTTTTTCCATTTTGTCTTAAGTAGAGTAAGGCTTCTACCCATCGTTTATCAGTGGTCTCAGATAACCGGGGCACAAGTTTAATAAATTTAATTGTTCTTTAAGTTAAATACTCGCTTTAACAGGTTTCAACATAACCTAAAACAAGAAGATTGGAGAGCACACCATATTCTTAA